TTTTCTCGGTTTAGCAGGATATTACCGCAAATTTGTGGAGAAGTTCTCAGTGATATCATCTCCACTCACAAAGCTCACTAAAAAGGGGGCTAAGTTTGCGTGGGATGAGAAGTGTGAGAAGGGTTTTCTTGAGCTAAAGAAACGTTTGACTGAAGCACCAATGCTTGCTCTACCTGTGCAAGGGTTAAGGTATGACATCTACAGTGATGCTAGCATCCAGGGGCTTGGATGCGTACTGATACAATCAGGGAAGGTAAATGTTTATGCTTCTCGGCAGTTGAGAAAGCATGAAGTTAATTACCCCACAAACGATCTGGAGCTAGGAGCTGTGGTGTTTGCATTGAAGATTTGGAGGCACTACCTTTACGGAGAATTATTCCACATCTACACTGACCACAAGAGTTTGAAGTATGTGTTCACCCAGAAAGAGCTGAACATAAGACAAAGGAGATGGATGGACTTGATCAAGGATTACAACTTGATCATCGACTATCATCTGGGCAAGGCTAATGTACTAGCCGATGCACATAGCAGGAAGAGCTCATCAGAGGTTTTGCTCACATGCCTACAGGCAATGAGAGCACGTATGGAGGTATCCACATATGGAGCCTTATTGGATGGCCAGATTTGAGGTGAGACCCACCCTCTGTTCTAAAAATCGTTCTAGGCGTCCGACTAGTCCCCGCCTAGGCGCTAGGCAGTAGCCGGGCGCCCAGATTTTCATCTAGGCGCTCCGACTATTTGGTTTGCCATCTAGGTGAATTAGTCGACCGCCTATGACACCTAGTTTCCCGCCTAGAGCGCCTAATCGGCCGCCTAAGCCATCTAGATTTGTCGAAGATTGCTTTACATTTTAAGATTAATTTTCTAAGAGATATACGTACTTTAGCTTTAGCAATGGATATAAAGAAATGAAGTTGTAAATTAAGATAAAACTATATATGTTTATATATATACTTAAATTTCAACATTATTTATATTTATAACATAATGAAGTTAAGTGATTGGTTATCATATACTACATATGATTAAATGTGATAATTCTATCATTCATGTTTGTTAATGTATATCTATATATGTAATTTATACACACAAAAATATGATATTACTTATCATATTTATGCATATATATAGATAAAAATGCAATTTTTTTGTCTCTGACTAGTCCCCGCCTAGGCGCTAGGCACTGGGTTGGCGCCCGACTAGCGCCTAGCGCATTTTAGAACATTGGACCCACCTTATTGGAGGAGATCAAGACACGTCAGGACACTGACAAGGAACTACACAAAGTACGAGGACAGATGCTAGCGGGGCCTGTAGAGGGTTTTCGAGAGAGAGAAGATGGACTCTTACTATTCAAGGAACGAGTGTGTGTGCCATCAGATGAGGAACTCCGAAAGTCTATCCTTGAGGAGGCTCACTCATCTGTTTATGCCATGCACCCGAGCGGTACAAAGATGTATCAGGACTTGAAGGAAAGTTATTGGTGGTCGGGGATGAAGAGAGAGAGATTGTAGAATATGTGAGTCGTTGTCTTACCTGTCAGCAGGTTAAGGCAGAGCACCAGTACCCAGCAGGGTTGTTACAGCCACTTACCATTCCATAATGGAAGTGGGAACACATTACTATGGATTTTGTGGTGGGACTGCTACGTACAGTTAGAAACCATGATGCGGTGTGGGTGGTAGTTGATAGACTGACCAAAAGTGCTCATTTTCTCCCTATAAACACTACCTATACGCTTGAACGATTGGCCAAGTTGTACACATATGAGATTGTGAGACTGCATGGGGTTCCGGTTACTATAGTATCGGATAGAGACCCACGGTTCACATCACGGTTTTGGCCTAAGTTTCAGGAATCCATGGGTACGAAGTTGAAGTTTTGCACCGCTTTTCATCCTCAAACAGATGGGCAATCTGAACATGTGATTCAGATTTTGGAGGACATGTTGAGAGCATGTGCCTTGGAGTTCCAAGGAAGCTGGGACAATCAGTTGGCCTTAGTGGAATTCGCCTATAATGATCGGGCTAAACTTGCAAGTGTACAAGTGCCGATATAGTAATAAATTCCGATAAAATACCGGGTCGAATCCACAAGGAAACGTTGTTTAATTCAAGTCCGAGAGTAGATAACTTTAAATGAAGAATTGAATAAAGTGCAGGGATTTTGATTTGTGTTTTATATTTTTGGTTTTTTCACTTTTTGTTTCAACAAGATAATTGTTAAATAACTTTGAGTTCAAGATAAATGATAACAACAACTAAGGCTTCGGGAATCACTTAAATGCTTAAATAGGGTTGAATATTAGTTCTTTGCCAATAATTATGAATACGATGTCGCTAATATATTCTCAACTCCGGTTAAGGCAGCGAGAGCGTGGTTTTCGTTACGTGTAAGTCCCGTTACGACTTACATTCATCTACCGAAAACCCCGTTGAATATCAAGACATCACACCCGTATCATATAAGACCAGATATATTTCTATTCTCGGTACTATATATGTTTATCCTTTAGTGTTCATAGTTTAGACTTCAACGTTAATTGCAAGTATAAACTAAATTTAACATACTTCTATGTTGTACACCATAGTCATAAACAATCAATTTATAAAGGATAAATCACAATTTATTGGTTTAGAACTTTTATCAAACACCTAGTGGGCATAGAAGTTCATCCCTAGCCTTAGCTAAGAAATTAGCCTCTAATGCTCATATTAATTACAAAAGTGTAACTACAAACAATTAAATACAATAACATACAAGAAAAATTACCTAGAACCAATTGTAGAGGAGAGAAATAGCTTCTTCTCCAAAGAACTTGAAGAAAAATAGCAAGAACAAAATATAAAAGCTATGAATTAATCTATGGAATGGAATGTGTTTGTATGATGAATTGAGGGCTTTATATAGGCTAAAGAATGGCATCTTTTAGTCTATTCAAGCCCAACAAGCAGGTGTGGAGCAATATTTGGTCAAGAAATGAGGAAGATGACCTTTTCCCATCAAAAATCTTCTTGCACGTTGGCCTATTTTGTGCAGAAATCGCCCCATCCGGCGCCGGTTGTAAGGTGTCCGGCGCCGGTCGTGTGCAAAAATGCACCGGTCGCTCCGCGCCGGTTGGAAACAGGCGATTTTTGGGAAAAAATCAAACGACCGGCGCCGGATGTAGGATGACCGGTGCCGGTTCTTGCGCCCAAATGTGTACTTAGCTTCTTTTTCTCTTTTGATGCCCGAAATTTATCCAGAAGTGCCGGTTTTCGACCTCTTTTTGCTTTTGACCCTATTTTTGCTGTTCCAAGGTGCATTGCATGTTTCCGCTCATTCGGGAATATTTACCTGTTTTTGCTTTAATTTTTGTACAGATAATTATAATCACTTATGTAAAACATAAGTAATTATTGTGCTTATCAAATTCCCCCACACTTGAGCATTGCTTGTCCTCAAGCAATTTCTTTGTATTGATGCATAATTAGAAAAGAAACTAAACCATGCAAAGTAAAAGTTTAATAAGATGTTAAAAGTTAGATATAAACACTTTAATCTTTCTCGAGCCAAAAACCTTTTTCTAGTACTCACAATAAATGTATTTAAGATTAAGAAAAATATTTAAACGCTTGATGGGTTTATTTTGTGACAATTTAGGCAATGTGTGGGTATGTCGGTGTTTTTTTTGGACTGACAACTTGATTTTGTATAGAAGGCTATTCTAGGAGAACATGAGTTTTTTTTTTTTTGCTTTTGTATATAAACTCTTTTTTTGTTCTCCGTAATTATATATCTAGATTGTCAGAAATGAGGAGAATCTGACAATAGAGTGATTTGGAGTTGGGATGAAACTTTTATTTTGAATTTTGCACTCTATGCACATTTGTATGAATTTGGAACATTGTCACAAATTTGAGTGAAAGTGGTGGTTTCAAGATTAATAAATATTTTAATTAATCTAAAAATACATTTTTGTGAGTAAAAGTAAATCTTTCTCAACCAAAACCCTTAAAAGTGAGAATATCAAAAATTTTAACCTTCCTAGAAAAAATTTAATTTGCAAAGAAAAGTTTCTCAACTAATTGTTCACCCCCACACTTGATTGACATTGTCCTCAATGTAGAAGCCATAGGAACATAAAAACTTCAATCCTCCATAAAGTGTGTGTTTAGAGAAGAGTATGTCATATGAAATAACAAGAAGGGGGACCTAATTTTGTGGGTCGGGAGGGGGGTGCCCAAATTGACCATAGTAGTGTTGGGTGAATTGCCCAAACCTTTGGTCAATGTGGTCCAGATGCTCTTCCATCCTTGTTTGACGGGTGCGGAGGTCCTCTTGGTTAGCTTCGTACACGTCCATCCACGTATGCATACGATCCATGGACTCAACAATGTAGTCAATGCCATGTGCTATAGTTCGCCGTGGCCGGGCTGCGTGTAACACCGTCCCCAAATGTATTTATCTTTAAGCGAATAATTTATTGAACCCTATGAAATTTTTAGTGAATTTACGAGGTTGAGAATTTGTATTAATTTTTTCGCGTGAATAGTAAAATACACGTGGGGCCCACATCGGGAGTGGGGACCGTCCGATATTATCGGGACCACATATTATATTCATCTGGGTCTAGAAAATATTTATAGATGGTGGATACTTCATTTGGGTCATGGAAAGGCCCAGAGTTGACCGATTGGTCAATAGAGGCCCAAATACCGATATCGATAAATTTATCAGATAAAAGCCCGAAATTGGATTTTGGAGACTTATAAATTAAAGTTGGGGAATGCATATTCATTCTAAATGTTATAATGATTAAGAACACGTAATATATTTATTTAACCCGATAAAATAAATATATCTAAAACAGTCCGGAAAATACAGCTTTCGGGGCAAATTGTACACTTTGGGACAAATTAGGATGACCTCCCACATGGGTGGGGGCCACCCCACGAATTTGTCAACCTTTGGGGGCTGGATGAGGGCTAAGTTGGCTGAATAACAATTGATAGGATGGGGGAGACACCCTTTGACATTTGGTAGACCCCCTCCCTTCACTCATTTGTCTAAATGAGACAAAAACCACCCCTCTCACCTCACCACCTCCACCCACTCGTACCAACACCCTAAGATAGCAAGGAGGAGCTCTGAAATTCACCATTTTCACACCCAAATTCGAGCTCAAGATAGAGGATCCAAGGAGGAGTGCTTGGAGAAGGAAAAAGGTGTAGGAAAGTGTGGAAATTGAGGTAATCACCTTGCCATAGCTTTCCCTTTATTCTTCTTCTACCATGAGGCATATTTATTATATGAAGAACCCCTGGGATGGTTCTCCATGTTCTAAGTATGGATTTATGGGTTGGAAAGTGGTTCTATGTCCAAGAACGGACTTAGAAGCCAAATCGACCGGTTTGCCGGAAAATAACCTTTTATAGGTTATTTGTGTTGATATGGGTTTTGTGATGATAAAAATTTGTTAGGGACTTGATTTAAAGTATTTTTGAGCTTCGCCGGAGTTTCGTCGGAGTTGGTCAAAGTACGCCGGAGTTGGTCAAAGTTCGGCGGAGTTGGTCAAAGTTCGCCGAAATTAGTCAAAGTTCAATCGAGAAGCGTAGAACGTGCTTAAGCTTAATTAAGGTGAGGATGACCGACTATGTTGCTTATAATCTTTGAGTTAATTTCATGGGATTTCCTAAGTGAATACAAATGTGATGTGCATGGGTTGTTAATGGTAAATAATGCCTAAATAAAACTACTATTGATTATAAGTATAGTATGCATGATATACAAATTTATGAATAAATTGTGTATGTTTAGATGTTATGAATATGAGTGTATGATGGTTGTACCAACCATGAATTTCATTTGAGATAGTATACTTTGATACCATGAGGAGAAGCCATGAAGGTATAAAAGTGATACTTGATATTAAGGCCAATCATGCATGAAGAAAGAATTATATTGAAATAAATAAATAACTAGCATTGAAATATTAGTTGGAAATGTTAGTTGAGAAGCAAGGATCCTTATTGATACCGGGGCGCAACGATCATTTGTGAGTGAGGCGTTCGCCAACGGATTCAACGGACCACTTGTACCGATGACTCAAACCCTATTGGTGTCCACGCCTCTAGGGGATGATATCGAGAGAGGAAGCCACTATCCATCGTGTGAGGTTGAGGTGGAGGGACAGAACTTGACGTGTGATTTCGTACAGCTGAGTATGATCGAGTTTGATGCAATCCTCGGGATGGATTGGCTTGAGAAACATCATGCTAGGGTCGATTGCTACACGAAAATTCTTGAACTCGAAGGCGGTGAAGGGTTGACCTTACGCTTCGAGGGAGATAGAGGCAAATCAAACAGTTGTATCATATCCGCCGTGAGGGCGAGGAATATGATGAGAAAGGGATGCCACGCATACCTAGCGTATGTGGTGGACAAAACCAAAGAAGAGATAGACATCAATGATGTGAGAGTTGTGTGAAAGTATCCGGATGTCTTCCAAGAAGACTTGCCGGGACTTCCACCCGATAGGGAGATTGAGTTCGTGATCGAGGTCGAACCCGGCACCAAACCAATCTCTATACCGCCATACAGAATGGCACCCGCTGAACTTAACGAGTTGAAAACCCAATTGCAAGAGCTATTGGATAACGGTTTCATAAGGCCGAGTCACTCTCCGTGGGGAGCACCGGTCCTTTTCGTGAAAAAGAAAGATGGAACACTTCGAATGTGCATTGACTATCGTCAACTGAACAAGGTCACAATCAAGAATAGGTATCCCTTGCCTAGAATTGATGACTTGTTTGATCAGCTCTGAGGAGCGACGGTGTTTTCGAAGATCGACTTGAGGTCGGGGTACCACCAACTGAAAATAAAGGAAGATGACATACCTAAGAGTGCATTCCGCACAAGGTATGGTCATTTCGAGTTCCTAGTTATGTCGTTCGGGCTAACCAACGCCCCGACGGCATTCATGGACATGATGAACCGTGTGTTCAATGAATACTTAGATCAATTCGTGATAGTATTCATTGACGATATCTTGATATACTCCAAGAGTGAAGAGGAGCATGAAGATCATTTGAGACTTGTACTTGAACGGCTAAGGGAAAAACAACTCTTTGCCAAGTTCTCTAAATGCGAGTTTTGGCTCAAAGAGATCGGGTTCCTCGGGCATGTCGTGTCAGGTTCGGGCATTGCGGTGGATAAAGCCAAGATAGAAGCCATTATGAATTGGGAGAGACCCAAAAACGTGAAAGAAATACGTAGTTTCCTCGGCTTAGCAGGATATTATCGTAAGTTTGTTGAAAAATTTTCTGTATTGGCGTCTCCATTGACAAAGCTCACAAAGAAAGGGACCAAGTTCATATGGGACGACAATTGTGAGAAAGGGTTTCTCGAACTAAAGAAACGGCTTACAGAAGCACCAGACCTCGCTCTACCCACACAAGGGATAGGGTACGACGTATACAGTGACGCTAGCATCCAAGGGCTTGGATGTGTTCTAATGCAAAACGGTCGGGTGATTGCCTATGCTTCAAGGCAATTGAAGAAACACGAGGCAAACTACCCTACCCACGATCTAGAGTTGGGAGCGGTAGTGTTTGCACTGAAGATTTGGCGGCATTATCTCTATGGGGAGACGTGTCACATTTTCACCGATCATAAAAGCTTGAAGTATGTATTCACTCAAAAAGAGTTAAATATGAGACAAAGGAGATGGATGGAGTTGATCAAGGACTATGACTTGATCATCGACTATCATCCCGGGAAGGCCAATGTAGTAGCCGATGCACTGAGCAGGAAGAGTACATCGGGGACGTTATTCGCGTGTCTACGCTCATTAAGGGCACAAGTGGAGGTGTCCACGAGTGGGGTCCTCATTGCTAGATTCGAGGTTAGGCCTACATTGCTGAGTGAGATCAGTAGATGTCAGGCCAATGATGAAGAATATCAGAAGATCCGTGAACGGATCCTTGAGGGACCTGTTGAGAAGTTTCGGGTACGTGATGACGGTCTTTTATTGTTTAAAGGCCGTGTATGCAAACAAAGGAATGAGGAGCTCCAAAAGTCTATACTGGAGGAGGCTCATTCTTCGGCGTATGCCATGCATCCAGGAGGTACTAAAATGTACCAAGACTTGAAGGAAAGTTACTGGTGGTCGGGTATGAAGAGGGACATCGCAGAGTACGTGAGTCGGTGCCTTACTTGCCAACAAGTCAAGGCGGAACATCAGCACCCGGCGGGACTTTTGCAACCACTTACCATTCCAGAATGGAAGTGGGAGCACGTGACCATGGACTTCGTGGTGGGGCTACCACGAACAGTGAACAACTATGATGCGGTATGGGTAGTGGTTGATAGGCTCACCAAGAGTGCACACTTTTTGCCTATCAACATTACTTATCCTCTTGAAAGATTGGCAAAGCTATTCACGGAGGAGATTGTGAGACTGCATGGAGTTCCGATATCCATTGTCTCGGATAGGGACCCACGTTTCACATCCCGATTTTGGCCAAAATTTCAAGCATCTTTGGGTACGAAGCTAAAGTTTAGCACAGCCTTTCACCCATAGACGGATGGACAATCCGAAAGGATGATACAGATTCTGGAAGATATGCTTAGGGCATGTGCTTTGGAGTTCCAAGGGAGTTGGGACAAGCATTTGGCTCTGGTCGAGTTCGCCTATAACAACAGTTATCAGGCGAGTATTGGCATGCCTCCATACGAGGCATTGTATGGGAGGAAATGTAGAACACCGTTGTGTTGGGACGAGGTTGGCGAAGCCAAGCTCGAGGGGATTGAACTTGTCGAAATCACCAAGGCTAAGGTGAAAGTCATTCAGGGTAGACTCAAGGCGGCCCAAGATCGGCAAAAGAGTTATGCTGACAAACGACGCAGGCCATTGGAGTTTGAGGTCGGTGATAAGGTCTTTCTAAGGATTTCTCCTTGGAAAGGTATCATCAGATTTATATCGAGGGGAAAGCTTAACCCCCGATACATTGGCCCATTTGAAATCCTTGAAAGGATAAGGGTCGTGGCTTACCGTATCAAATTGACGCCAGAACTTGAGAAGATACACGACGTGTTCCATGTATCGATGCTCAAGAAATACGTGCGAGATCCGTCTCATATCCTTGAGAAACCACCGGTAGAGATACGTGAAGACCTACAATATGCGGTGGAACCGGTGAAGATTGTGGGTCAACAGGTAAAGAAACTGAGGAACAAGGAGATTCCTATGGTAAAGGTCCTTTGGAGGAGTGATCGAGTCGAAGAAGAAACCTGGGAGACTGAGGTCTCAATGAGGGAGCAGTACCCTTTCCTTTTCGATTAGACACGCGGACTTCGGGGACGAAATCCCAAATAAGGGGGGGTGAACTTGTAACACCGTCCCCAAATGTATTTATCTTTAAGCGAATAATTTATTGAACCCTATGAAATTTTTAGTGAATTTACGAGGTTGAGAATTTGTATAAATTTTTTCGCGTGAATAGTAAAATGCACGTGGGGCCCACATCGGGAGTGGGGACCGTCCGATATTATCGGGACCACATATTATATTCATCTGGGTCTAGAAAATATTTATAGATGGTGGATACTTCATTTGGGTCATGGAAAGGCCCAGAGTTGACCGATTGGTCAATAGAGGCCCAAATACCAGTATCGATAAATTTATCAGATAAAAGCCCGAAATTGGATTTTGGAGACTTATAAATTAAAGTTGGGGAATGCATATTCATTCTAAATGTTATAATGATTAAGAACACGTAATATATTTATTTAACCCGATAAAATAAATATATCTAAAACAGTCCGGAAAATACAACTTTCACGGCAAATTGTACACTTTGGGACAAATTAGGATGACCTCCCACATGGGTGGGGGCCACCCCACGAATTTGTCAACCTTTGGGGGCTGGATGAGGGCTAAGTTGGCTGAATAACAATTGATAGGATGGGGGAGACACCCTTTGACATTTGGTAGACCCCCTCCCTTCACTCATTTGTCTAAATGAGACAAAAACCACCCCTCTCACCTCACCACCTCCACCCACTCGTAACAACACCCTAAGATAGCAAGGAGGAGCTCTGAAATTCACCATTTTCACACCCAAATTCGAGCTCAAGATAGAGGATCCAAGGAGGAGTGCTTGGAGAAGGAAAAAGGTGTAGGAAAGTGTGGAAATTGAGGTAATCACCTTGCCATAGCTTTCCCTTTATTCTTCTTCTACCATGAGGCATATTTATTATATGAAGAACCCTTGGGATGGTTCTCCATGTTCTAAGTATGGATTTATGGGTTGGAAAGTGGTTCTATGTCCAAGAACGGACTTAGAAGCCAAATCGACCGGTTTGCCGGAAAATAACCTTTTATAGGTTATTTGTGTTGATATGGGTTTTGTGATGATAAAACTTTGTTAGGAACTTGTTTTAAAGTATTTTGAGCTTCGCCGGAGTTTCTTCGGAGTTGTTCAAAGTTCGCCGGAGTTGGTCAAAGTTCGCCGGAGTTGGTCAAAGTTCAACGAAATTAGTCAAAGTTCAATGGAGAAGCGTAGAACGTGCTTAAGCTTAATTAAGGTGAGGATGACCGACTATGTTGCTTATAATCTTTGGGTTAATTTCATGGGATTTCCTAAGTGAATACAAATGTGATGTGCATGGGTTGTTAATGGTAAATAATGCCTAAATAAAACTACTATTGATTATAAGTATAGTATGCATGATATACAAATTTATGAATAAATTGTGTATGTTTAGATGTTATGAATATGAGTGTGTGATGGTTGTACCAACCATGAATTTCATTTGAGATAGTATACTTTGATACCATGAGGAGAAGCCATGAAGGTATAAAAGTGATACTTGATATTAAGGCCAATCATGCATGAAGAAAGAATTATATTGAAATAAATAAATAACTAGCATTGAAATATTAGTTGGAAATGTTAGTTGAGAAATGGATGAATTAGATCCTAAGAATTTGAATTATAAAGAATCGGTGATTATGAGTTGGGCTCAAGACCGATGTAGATAACGGTGATTATGGGCTGGGCTCTAGACCGTAGTAGATGACGGTGATTATGAGCTGGGCTCTAGACCGTAGTAGATGACGGTGATTATGAGCGGGGCTCTAGACCGTAGTAGATAACGGTGATTATGAGCTGGGCTCTAGACCGTGGTAAATAATGATGAATTGATACTAAATGAACGGATTAACTATAATGTAATAATGCTCTAGATTGAGGGCCTCAGAGATTTAAACTTCGATTATACTTAGTATAGTTGTCATTGTACTTGTCAAATGCTTCCAAGTACTGACCTCCCCTTCACGGGGGAGGCCACCTCATAATTTCAGGTAGAACTTGAAGGTTGCTACTACCAGCCGCTGTTTCGGGAAGTTTCTGAGAAGAAGACTTGGTTCGTGCTTCTTCCGTTCTTGTTTTGAAAACAATATGAATAATGCTCATGGATATTATTTTCTGAATATACATTTCGGGGGTTTGTATACCCATGTTTGCCAAGTGTGGCTTGAACACTTGTAATGTTGTTTCCGCTGTTTTAAATGAATGATTTACATTATGTTTGTTTATGGATGTACTATGTGTGAATGATATTCATGACGCCTTGTATGGTATGGATGAGTTGGACTGCGGTTGGCTATTCGTACTGTACGGCGGGTTGTTGACGTGTCCGGCTGGGTCCGGGGCGTGACAATTTAAATGGTATCAGAGCCTTAGTCCGTAAACATCATAATGAAGCTTCAAAATTTCTTTTTGAAAATGAATTTGAAAACCATGAGCATAAGGTTTTGTACTTATAGAACTTTTGGTACTTGAGTTGCAATGCCTCTAATTGTTAAGATGGTACCCTTAACAATTGGTATGGCGGTGATTTGAGCCAAAGGATGTCTTTAAGTACCTATCCGTCAATTGACATTCGATGCGAGTCTAATGACTCATTCTAATTTCTTTCAGAAATGGAACCCGTTGGAAGGATCACTAGAAGGAACCCGTTGGGCCGTGCACCGGGTGGGTCCGAGCGCGGTAGCCGGGGGTCCTCTAGGGAATCAAGAGGAAGGGGCCGTGGAGGCCAACGTCAAACCGTGAGCGATGGCCACGTCGATACCGAAAGTGAGACCTATTGGTCCTATGAGGACTCAACCTACCAGCCGGGGACTGAGCCAGTTGAGACCCCTTACGAAGGGAATGATGATGATGTGAGTGATGAGGAGGAAAGTGGCTCCTTGGCCAGGATCGAAGCGCTGCTCCAACAGTATCATCGGGAGCGCGAAGAAAGGAGGGCACGCCGAAGGCACCGTGCAGGGCAACCTGCGGGCGGGGCTCCAAGAGGGAGGAGCTATTGCGATTCGAGAACCCATGTGGAAGCACATGGAAGTAGGGGCGATGGAGGTCCAGCCATAAGGATCTCCAAAAACATCAAAGAGGTGAGGGACTTAGGGTGCAAACCGTTCGATGGGACGGGAGACATCTCGGTTGCCGCACAGTGGATCAAGAGGCTGAACGAGGCAGCCCTTGACATGCAGCTCACCCCCGATTTTAAACTGAGAATCGCGGTAAGGTTACTCGAAGGGTTGGCATCCAAATGGTGGGATGGAACCAAGGGTAAGTACGGCGGAACTGTTACATGGGAGGATTTTCGATAAGAATTCTTTGCCCAGTACTACACTGACTTCGAAGTAAACGCCAAGGTGAGGGAATACACTCTCCTAACCCAAGGTGGTAACATGACGGTGAAAGAACTTGAGAACAAGTTCAGAGACCTTGTTGATCACATATCGGAGTATGCTTGTGATGAAAACCGAATGGTGAATCATTTTTGGGAGGCCTTGGACTTGGAGATACGCGACAGGGCAACTCAATTGCCCAACATGACTTTCAGCCAAGTGGTCATCCAAGGGTTGAAAGGAGAAAAGCAATGGGAGGAGAGGAAGAAGAGAGATGCCGAAGAGGCTAAGAATAGAAAGTGGGAAAGCCATGGCCCCCAAGGTCCCAACAAGAAGGGGAACCATGGGGGAGGTGGATCGTTTAGGGCACCGCCAGCACCATCCAAGGGAAACCCGGCCACGAGCGGGCACTACTCGGGCTCACAAGCCCCAACGATGCCCAGGTGCAGGAATTGCAACAGGAACCACGTCGGTAAGTGTCGTGATCCACCACGGTGCTACCAATGCGGGAGTACAGGGCATATTAAGCCAAACTGCCCTCAACTTGGTGGGAACCGGGGGTCAGGACCAAGCGGCGCTACCACGGCAAGTAGGAACCGGGCCGGAGCATCTCATGCTAGTGTGGGCCAGGGGGAGCGAGCACGAGCAATGCGCCGTCCGTGAATCAAGGAAGAACTCAAGCTAGAGTTTATGCGATGACGGAGGCGGACGCACGTGCTAACTCGGACTCCGTGGCGGGTAAGATCTTAAACTCATGATATTACTCCATTGTATGCAATAGGAGTGTTTGTAAGGTGCAAATTTTGTAACCCCGATGGTTTGGTCGGGATTGTTGGGAAAAGGGGAGGAAAAATCCCCGCCCTGGGCGAATGCCGCCCGACATTTGACGAAAGCCGCCCGGCTTTCGTCTTGAATTATTGGGAAAATGCTGCGGCGACGTATGTCGGCCGGTTTCCACCAAAAGCCGCCCGGCTTTCGTCAACACTTAATCAGGAAAATCCTCGCAACCAAAAACCGGCCGGCTTTTGTAAAGACCGGTCGACTTTCATAAATGCCTGACCTGGGAATTTTCTCGCAGCTGAAAGCCGCCCGGCTTTGGCGAAAGCCGCCCGGCTTTCGTCGGGCCTAGGAATTCCTGCGCTGCTGAAACCCGGCCGGGTTTCGTATAAACCGGCCGGCTTCGAAACCATTCCCTGAATAAAAACTACGGCGATGAAAACCGCCCGACTTTCGTAAAAGCCGCCCGACTTTCGTGATTAAATACTTAGAATTTTTCTCGCAGTCGAAAACCGGCCGGCTTTCGTGAAAAGCGGAAGACTTTCACCAGGGTCGGTCCCAGAACGGTTCTAAGGGTTAGAAACCGGGAATTTTCGGACGGGTGTCAAACGGACCCCACCCGAACCACGACCAACATACTCTGCGACCTAAGAAACAAGCCTATTAATTAGATAGTGTGATTTACATTACTTATGAATGTAGGAATACTAAAGATAAACGGGAGAGAAGCAAGGATCCTTATTGATACCGGGGCGCAACGATCATTTGTGAGTGAGGCGTTCGCCAACGGATTCAACGGACCACTTGTACCGATGACTCAAACCCTATTGGTGTCCACGCCTCTAGGGGATGATATCGAGAGAGGAAGCCACTATCCATCGTGTGAGGTGGAGGTGGAGGGACAGAACTTGACGTGTGATTTCGTACAGCTGAGTATGATCGAGTTTGATGCAATCCTCGGGATGGATTGGCTTGAGAAACATCATGCTAGGGTCGATTGCTACACGAAAATTCTTGAACTCGAAGGCGGTGAAGGGTTGACCTTACGCTTCGAGGGAGATAGAGGCAAATCAAACAGTTGTATCATATCCGCCGTGAGGGCGAGGAATATGATGAGAAAGGGATGCCACGCATACCTAGCGTATGTGGTGGACAAAACCAAAGAAGAGATAGACATCAATGATGTGAGAGTTGTGTGCAAGTATCCGGATGTCTTCCAAGAAGACTTGCCGGGACTTCCACCCGATAGGGAGATTGAGTTCGTGATCGAGGTCGAACCCGGCACCAAACCAATCTCTATACCGCCATACAGAATGGCACCCGCTGAACTTAACGAGTTGAAAACCCAATTGCAAGAGCTATTGGATAACGGTTTCATAAGGCCGAGTCACTCTCCGTGGGGAGCACCGGTCCTTTTCGTGAAAAAGAAAGATGGAACACTTCGAATGTGCATTGACTATCGTCAACTGAACAAGGTCACAATCAAGAATAGGTATCCCTTGCCTAGAATTGATGACTTGTTTGATCAGCTCTGAGGAGCGACGGTGTTTTCGAAGATCGACTTGAGGTCGGGGTACCACCAACTGAAAATAAAGGAAGATGACATACCTAAGAGTGCATTCCGCACAAGGTATGGTCATTTCGAGTTCCTAGTTATGTCGTTCGGGCTAACCAACGCCCCGACGGCATTCATGGACATGATGAACCGTGTGTTCAATGAATACTTAGATCAATTCGTGATAGTATTCATTGACGATATCTTGATATACTCCAAGAGTGAAGAGGAGCATGAAGATCATTTGAGACTTGTACTTGAACGGCTAAGGGAAAAACAACTCTTTGCCAAGTTCTCTAAATGCGAGTTTTGGCTCAAAGAGATCGGGTTCCTCGGGCATGTCGTGTCAGGTTCGGGCATTGCGGTGGATAAAGCCAAGATAGAAGCCATTATGAATTGGGAGAGACCCAAAAACGTGAAAGAAATACGTAGTTTCCTCGGCTTAGCAGGATATTATCGTAAGTTTGTTGAAAAATTTTCTGTATTGGCGTCTCCATTGACAAAGCTCACAAAGAAAGGGACCAAGTTCATATGGGACGACAATTGTGAGAAAGGGTTTCTCGAACTAAAGAAACGGCTTACAGAAGCACCAGACCTCGCTCTACCCACACAAGGGATAGGGTACGACGTATACAGTGACGCTAGCATCCAAGGGCTTGGATGTGTTCTAATGCAAAACGGTCGGGTGATTGCCTATGCTTCAAGGCAATTGAAGAAACACGAGGCAAACTACCCTACCCACGATCTAGAGTTGGGAGCGGTAGTGTTTGCACTGAAGATTTGGCGGCATTATCTCTATGGGGAGACGTGTCACATTTTCACCGATCATAAAAGCTTGAAGTATGTATTCACTCAAAAAGAGTTAAATATGAGACAAAGGAGATGGATGGAGTTGATCAAGGACTATGACTTGATCATCGACTATCATCCCGGGAAGGCCAATGTAGTAGCCGATGCACTGAGCAGGAAGAGTACATCGGGGACGTTATTCGCGTGTCTACGCTCATTAAGGGCACAAGTGGAGGTGTCCACGAGTGGGGTCCTCATTGCTAGATTCGAGGTTAGGCCTACATTGCTGAGTGAGATCAGTAGATGTCAGGCCAATGATGAAGAATATCAGAAGATCCGTGAACGGATCCTTGAGGGACCTGTTGAGAAGTTTCGGGTACGTGATGACGGTCTTTTATTGTTTAAAGGCCGTGTATGCAAACAAAGGAATGAGGAGCTCCAAAAGTCTATACTGGAGGAGGCTCATTCTTCGGCGTATGCCATGCATCCAGGAGGTACTAAAATGTACCAAGACTTGAAGGAAAGTTACTGGTGGTCGGGTATGAAGAGGGACATCGCAGAGTACGTGAGTCGGTGCCTTACTTGCCAACAAGTCAAGGCGGAACATCAGCACCCGGCGGGACTTTTGCAACCACTTACCATTCCAGAATGGAAGTGGGAGCACGTGACCATGGACTTCGTGGTGGGGCTACCACGAACAGTGAACAACTATGATGCGGTATGGGTAGTGGTTGATAGGCTCACCAAGAGTGCACACTTTTTGCCTATCAACATTACTTATCCTCTTGAAAGATTGGCAAAGCTATTCACGGAGGAGATTGTGAGACTGCATGGAGTTCCGATATCCATTGTCTCGGATAGGGACCCACGTTTCACATCCCGATTTTGGCCAAAATTTCAAGCATCTTTGGGTACGAAGCTAAAGTTTAGCACAGCCTTTCACCCATAGACGGATGGACAATCCGAAAGGATGATACAGATTCTGGAAGATATGCTTAGGGCATGTGCTTTGGAGTTCCAAGGGAGTTGGGACAAGCATTTGGCTCTGGTCGAGTTCGCCTATAACAACAGTTATCAGGCGAGTATTGGCATGCCTCCATACGAGGCATTGTATGGGAGGAAATGTAGAACACCGTTGTGTTGGGACGAGGTTGGCGAAGCCAAGCTCGAGGGGATTGAACTTGTCGAAATCACCAAGGCTAAGGTGAAAGTCATTCAGGGTAGACTCAAGGCGGCCCAAGATCGGCAAAAGAGTTATGCTGACAAACGACGCAGGCCATTGGAGTTTGAGGTCGGTGATAAGGTCTTTCTAAGGATTTCTCCTTGGAAAGGTATCATCAGATTTATATCGAGGGGAAAGCTTAACCCCCGATACATTGGCCCATTTGAAATCCTTGAAAGGATAAGGGTCGTGGCTTACCGTATCAAATTGACGCCAGAACTTGAGAAGATACACGACGTGTTCCATGTATCGATGCTCAAGAAATACGTGCGAGATCCGTCTCATATCCTTGAGAAACCACCGGTAGAGATACGTGAAGACCTACAATATGCGGTGGAACCGGTGAAGATTGTGGGTCAACAGGTAAAGAAACTGA